TCCTCAGGTCGTCCAATTTACTCCCTAACCCGACTTTCTATGGTAATATTAAATGCAATAAACCACGCTGTAAAGTATGCAAGCACCTCGTCACCGACAGCGTTGTTAGGCTCCCACACACCTCTTCTTCTATCAATCCCCCTCCCCTCACCTGTGACTCTTCGAACGTTATTTATCTCCTCATGTGCAATATCTGTGATCATGGCTCTTATATAGGCAAAACTGGAACTAAATTTAGACTCCGGTTTAATAACCACAAACAGTCCGTCCGTAGCAAGAGCAAGGGGTTCCCTGTCGCCGAACACTTTAACTCCCCTGGCCACTCCATTGACAACATCCGATGTGTTCTGCTGGCTAACAATTTTCCATCTCTTGACCATAGAAGACGCTCAGAGCTCAAACTCATTATCAAATTCAATACTCACATTTTAGGCCTTAATCGTGACATGGGTATTCTGAGCGATTACATATTCACACACACTTGACTTTTTTTCATACCACCGTATTCCCGTTTCATTACTTTATGTACACCTTGTTATAATCCATATCACTTGTATTATGCTATATTTAATTTTGACTTCTGCATCTCTTTTGTATCTAGGTTTACCCAGTTTACTTTGTTTTTGTTTATTTTGTTAATGGATTACTTTATGTACACCTTGTTATAATCCATATCACTTGTATTATGCTATATTTAATTTTGACTTCTGCATCTTTTGTATCTAGGCTTACCCAGTTTACTTTGTTTTTGTTTCTTTTGTTAATGGATTGTTGGTGGTGGTGGTTGGTTGGTGGTGGTGGTTGGCTGATGGTGGTGGTTGGTTGTTGGTGGTGGTTGGTTGTTGTTGTTGTTGTTGGTGGTTGTTGTTGTTGTCGGTTGTTGTTGGTTGTTGGTTGGTTGTTGTTGGTTGGTTGTTGGTTGGTTGTTGTTGGTTGGTTGTTGTTGGTTGTTTGTTGTTGTTGGTTGGTTGGTTGTTGTTGTTGGTTGGTTGGTTGGTTGTTGTTGGTTGGTTGGTTGTTGTTGGTTGGTTGATTGTTGTTGTTGGTTGGTTGTTGGTTGGTTGGTTGGTTGGTTGGTTGTTGTTGGTTGGTTGGTTGGTTGTTGTTGGTTGGTTGGTTGGTTGGTTGTCTGTCTCTTATACACATCTAGATGTGTTGGTTGGTTGTAGTTAGTTGTTGGTTGGTTGGTTGTTTTTGTTGGTTGGTTGGTTGTTGTTGTTGGTTGGTTGTTGTTGGTTGGTTGGTTGTTTTTGTTGGTTGGTTTGTTGTTGTTGGTTGGTTGGTTGTTGTTGTTGGTTGGTTGTTGTTGTTGGTTGGTTGGTTGTTGTTGTTGGTTGGTTGGTTGTTGTTGGTTGGTTGGGTTGTTGTTGTTGCTGCTGCTGCTGCTGTTGTTGTTGTATCGATATCAAAGTACTTTGTTTTACTCATTATCTCGCTCCCATTATATATCATTATCCCCATGTCTCCAATATTGTTTATCTCATTTAATCACCCTCCTTTATTTATTGCCGACTGTTTATTGTATAAACATATTAAATTATAACATTTGATCAGCCGATATCAGGGTAAAGTAATAACTTGATCAATAATAATTGTCCATTTATAAATAATTTACTATAAAAATAACCAATTATGAAGGCCTAATTCAGTTACATCATTCTGTTATCCTTGCAGATACCTCATCACAATTAACAAGACAAATCAATCATTTTATTTTCTCCATGAATCAATGTACTTTGATCAGTCGATATTGGGGTCAAGTCAAAATTGACCATTTGGTTGCAACTCTTGACTTGAAGATCAATAAATTAAAACTTCTCTTTAATAGATGCCAGTTCAAGACTACAATCCCAGAGGGTACACTGAAGACACTCATCATGTGATTTGGTACTGGATCTCTTTGCCACACAATTGTCAAAATACAGCCCTCCCACACCCTCAATTTCTGTTGACAGTGCTACATATACTGGTGTGTCACTTCCTTGCGTTGGTGTCTGAAAGAGAAAATAAAGTGTATATTTTCCCTGTCTCTTATACACATCTATTCAATGGAAAAAGGCAATGAGATGGCAACGACTTGTAGACTATATATAAATATATATATATATATATATATATATATATAAATAATATACATATACACATATATATGATGTTATGTAGTATTTAGAATTGTATTCACTTGATTAATATAATAAATTTGTTTTTTTTGTTTTTAGAATAACATGTATATTTTCTTCTTGCAAGTACTGTAGTTTTCATTCTATCAATACAAAATACAGTTAAAAACAAAAGAACTCAAGGAATGATAACAATGAAGGTGGTGGTTTAATGGGGAAAATTGTGCAGGGCTGAGTGCACGGGAGTGACGTTATGTGGGGGTGAAATTGAAATGCAGGAGTATGACTAGCTTTCACTCTTGACCAGTAAACCATTTTTGTTGTTTATTTTTATTGATTTTTTTTTATTGATTTATTTACTTTTTTTTTATTGATTTATTAACTAGTGAACGTTTTTTTATATTATGAATTGCGAACCCCTTTTTTTTTATTATGAACGGCGAACTTCTTTTAGTTATTATGAACAGCGAACCTCGTTTTTTTTCATTATGAATAGCTAATGTTTTTTTTATTACGAATAACGAACATTTTTTTTTAATTATGAATAGCGAACCTCTTTTTTTATTATGAATAGCGAACCTTTTTTTTTAATTATGAATAGCGAACCTTATGACTACGGTTCTATTTTTCTATTATAAATAACGAACTCTTTTCTTGATTATGAGTAATGAACCCTTTATTACGACTAGCGAACCTGTTATTCTATTATAATTAGCAAACCTTATAAATAATGAGCTTTATGAATAGTGGACTTTAAAAAAAATTATGAATAGTGAACCTTATAAACAATTGTATTTATAACTAGCAGACCTTATGAACAGTGGACCCCGGCCAGGTTTTGTATGCACTTTGAGGTACAGAGAATTTGACTTCCGAAATATATTATTTGATCGACAATTCATAACAACCTACTGTTAATAATCACTCATTTAATTTCCAATTCAGTGTCATATCTTTATTTTGCACTTTTAGGAACCTGATCATCATAAACATATTAAATTATAACATTTGATCAGCCGATATCAGGGTAAAGTAATAACTTGATCAATAATAATTGTCCATTTATAAATAATTTACTATAAAAATAACCAATTATGAAGGCCTAATTCAGTTACATCATTCTGTTATCCTTGCAGATACCTCATCACAATTAACAAGACAAATCAATGTACTTTGATCAGTCGATATTGGGGTCAAGTCAAAATTGACCATTTGGTTGCAACTCTTGACTTGAAGATCAATAAATTAAAACTTCTCTTTAATAGATGCCAGTTCAAGACTACAATCCCAGAGGGTACACTGAAGACACTCATCATGTGATTTGGTACTGGATCTCTTTGCCACACAATTGTCAAAATACAGCCCTCCCACACCCTCAATTTCTGTTGACAGTGCTACATATACTGGTGTGTCACTTCCTTGCGTTGGTGTCTGAAAGAGAAAATAAAGTGTATATTTTCCTTATAAATGACAGTATAAAAACCAGTAGGTCCACTGATAATATAAGTTTAAGATAACTTAGTATAAAACATACTCCAAATAAAGCGAGACTAGTCATTTTGATTCAATATTTTGATCTTTTATTAGATCATCATCAGGAATGAATAAGATTTCAAAATTACAAACATATATTCCAAAAGTGTTACAGAAAATTAACCAATGAGAAACAAAGTGTTGGTGATTAAGTAATAAAGTAAAGTATCAATAAGCAAGCTTGATGATGTGATGAAATAAACAACTGAAAGTGAGAACTAGTAAACAATGATAGTTTTTTGGATGCTTTCAGTCCATTGTTAAGTAATGGGTTCAAACGTCTAATAGCGAAAGCCTCTTTAAACAATAAATGTGACCAGTTACTAGAACTGTCAATAATCCTAGTGCAATGAAAAATCAACCCTAACGAATTACATGGTTTATAATCATCAATATCTGGTAAATTGTGTAAGTCAAGTATGTAATTAAATCACAAGATATAACATGGTCAAAGATCACGCTAGTAGGTCCAGATGAATGTTCTTTGAGCCTAGTAATTAAACATCTGTCTGTTTTGCCTATGTACTCACTACTGCAACCAGGACATTTAAGTGGTATACAACTGAACTTCTGTATTAAAATAACTAACTTTCTTATACTGCCATAATGTTATAAACTTTACATTTTTATCAAGATTTCTTTTGATTTTCTTTAGACACCTAAGTAGAATTGATTCACCGTGTTTACCAAGATAAGGCAAACCCACTGGAATTTTAACCAAGTCATTAACATTCTGTACATTATTACCAAGCTTATTAAGATAATTTACCAAACAGTCGATTTATAACTCTTAACGGGAAGCCATTCCAAGACATAAATTGTTTGATTTGTTTGAGTTCATTTTGTAATGAATCACCGGGAATACATATTTTGTGAGCCTGTGTGTACAAACTGCGTATCCATGATATTTTGTGGTTCCAGGGGGTAAAGCTATTGAAATGAACATATTGGCCCGTGTACGTACTTTTACGGTAAATCCCAATATTGTGTGTACCATTGTCAAACTTCAAGTCCAGAAAATGTATTGAATCTCTATTTTCAAATGATTCAAAAGTAAACTTTAAGTTGTGAATAAAACGAATTAAGGGATCGGAGAATGAGATCAAAATCAGAGGGCTTAGCAAGAACTAAAGTATCATCAACAAACAGTGTATAAAACTTAATAATTCCCAATTGTTCTAAATTAGGAATAATGGTCTGTTCTAGTTCGGTCATAACAATATTAGATAGTACAGGATCAAGAGGAGAACCCATTGATACTTCATCACATTGCTTTTAGTACTCATTATTACAAGAAAATATCGTTTTGGTGCATGTCCTTAAGTAATTCACGTATCAAGTACTTTTCTTAAGATTGGTGGTTATCAGTTTTTGATTATATAACCTGTCAAGCACAATATTAATTACGCTGCTCATCGTATCAAGGAGATACCCTCTCACCTTTATCATGCCGGTTATCGTTTTGCATCATTTGATGTAGAATCACTTTTTACTATATTTTCCATAAATAAGGTGATTAATACAGTGCAGCTTTCCAATTCAAGAAAAAAAAATAGACACATAAAAGTTCTAGGGCATTTTTAAAAATTAGACATTTTCTGTTATTTTTTTTTTTTTCCAATTACCTATGGCCCCCCCAAAAATGCTTCATATTCAATCTAGAAAAAGGACCAAATTTTCTCAATCGAACCTCCTTCTTCACCATCTTTAAGAGGCTGTAACTTTTGAATGGTGCGTTGCATTTTAATAATTTAACTTGGGCTGAAAGGGGCCAATCAGGAAAACAGTACCCTTGGTGGTCCGGTGGCATCCCTCAAGGAATTTTTGTTTTCTATGCCCAAAAATAACCTCTGAGGCATTTTGGGCAATTAATTATTTCTTTTTTGTTCTTTCTTTGTTTTTTACTTTCCAAAGGGTGAAGGGGGATGCGCAGCTCTTTAGTATAAAGTGTAGAAGCGGTTGGCGCATCGTTACAATTTCTTTGCTTTTGTAATTTGATGTTTGTTGGTGTTGACGTGTACGCGTTTATGCCAGATTCAAGAAACATTTCTGTTTATGTATTTTTATATGTGAATATACCAATAAAGCTTATCTTATCTTATCTTTTTGTGGCTTGGACTCCTAACCTTGAGGTCAGGGGTTCAAAACTCTCACCGTGCAAGTCGCCTTCCTTGGGCGAAGCACTTTATTTATGTTTGTCTCTCTCTATCCAGGAGTGTAAATGGGTCATGGTGCTCTTCCCTCTCCCTTTATTGTCTGGTTTGTTTCCTCGCATTTTGTTGTTGGATTTTTCTTTTTTGTATGCCATTTTGTATATAATTTTCTGTATTCTTTTGTGTTATCATTTACGTATGTATTTAAGTATGTTTTTTACATTGAATTTTGAATAAATATACCTCAAATGTAAATGGGTACCTGATAGGATGTTGTGGCATTGTACTAGTTACGTGTGTTAAATAAGTAGTAGTATTTTTCCCTTTACCAAGTAACACTGTTTCCTATCATTTTAGTGGTCCTAAATATATTTACGTTATGAACAATTATATGAAATTCTGCTTTCAAACCCTGTACCTAAATGCAACATATCGTAAAACATGATCTAAACACTGAATTTCTGACATTACGTATCAAACTATAAATACTGAACAAGATAACATGAAAGACGAAACCTATTTTCTTAAAGTGATCATGAATTATTCTTCTTTTTCATCAAAACTAATAATTTATATACTAGAGTGAAAGCGAGCGATAAATTCCTAATAGCATCTATGTCACAGCAAAATCAGGAAGACTAAGGCCACTCTGGTGTAAGACCAAGTGATGCCATTCTTTGTACAGTATTTTTTTGTGTATCTTTATAACACATTAACTTTTTTCATTGTTGCCATTGTATTCTAAATTTTGAAAAAATTGCATCACATGTTTGAATTATCACAATAAAGTTTATCTCATCCTATCTTATGCATTCCATTAGCAATTTCATAGTCATGTCAATTGAAAATTTGTAGAAATGTTATTTCGTAACAGCTGCAAATAGCAATATAGTAGATTATACACTTAGCCATAGCATCATAGCCGCATCATATTGACACATTCAATTTACCTGGAAGCCACGGTTGTGCGATACAATTACAAAATGAAATAAGTCAAATGAAATTCCGGGCAGTTTAATTTGGCTAGTCAACACTAAAGTCATAAATTACTGATTGTGGATGCAACATTAACTATCATGAGTTCTATATAGTTAATTGGTTGCTATGCACATACTAATACATTGAGCCTACAAATTAAATTTACGATACTATTAATGTTCCAGCAAAAAATTAAGATATCTTTGTAAGTAAATACACCAAATATTAAATGAAACTTTGATCACAATGAGAGAGCATCAAAAGATTCTAGCAAGACTTGAATCAGTTCTTTCATTCTGTAGTTGGGAAACATATTATACACACAGTGCATGATTTGCTATCACCTTTTAATTAAATATTTTAAAATGATTTATGTTGATTGAATTTTTATTTTAAATAATAGAACTGCTATTAAAGCCTTTTCTTTTTGTGTAGCCCAGACTCTGAAGAACTGAGAAACACAGAAACACAATACATACAACATGCATACACAGATCTGCAAGAGATATACAGTATTATAGTGAAAAGGTAGTGCTTTCAATTAAATAAACTACATCAGTTCTTGGTACTTTGCTGCAATGCCTTTAATTCAACATACTGAACTACAGTATACTCAGTTTAGATGTTACGATAGTTAGAACAACTAAACAAGCTTGTTCATTTAGAATTTTCAATCATTCATATCTGTTCATTACATCGTAAACAAAATTTTCATTTTTCTCATTATAAAATTATAAACTCAATTCAATTCCTGAAGACATAATGAATCCCGACACAATGGCGTGCATTTCGATACTTGGAGTATGCATTATACTATCTCAATTCAACTCATTAGATATTTTTATAATTTGTGCTGCATAACTTTTATACCATTTATGTTTACACTGTAACATCAATCTGTATCATGGAGTGTATTAACTAGTATGAAATCACCTAAACTACTGTGAACCAAGCATGTTTTAATCTATTTTGTTTCTTTGAAATTTATGTACAGTGTATATACTGTACTATCTCGAAGAGGAATATGCTATCTTGACAAGGAAAAGCCCATGGGCTATTGTTTTTTAAAATGGGCTTTCTTTCGAAGCTAATTTCCTATTAAACTAAAGGGGCTTCAATTTGAGATGGGCATCTTCTTGAGATTAAGCCCATTGGGATTCAATTTGAAGTTTTACAGTATAGTATTTGCATCCACATTCTTGTTAAATATTTTTATATTTTGACTTCTAGTTGTTTGAAAGATATGGTGCGATACAAAAAAATTGTGGACAAGGTAATAAAATCAAATCAATGCCAACTAAGTGTTCAATTTTGAATGAAGTTAAATTTTGAATGAAGGTTATTCTTCTTAGGCCTACAGGGCTGAAAATTAGCGGTCGTCTTTTGTGCTGTTGGGCGATGATAATTTTCATGGGTATCGTCCATCTGGTGACCCTTACTGGGCTCATGCTAACCGACGCCATGAGCGAAAACTATTTTGAATTGGCGAAAATGTAACCAACTGCTTTAGCCATTTTGGAAAAGGCTTACTTAACATCATTTAAAGGTTTCAAATACTTGCTAAAATATATCGGTTTTTGTTTTCGTTCGAGCTCCATTTTTCGCCAATCCATAGCCATGCGACGTTTATTTGTGTTGTTGTTAGTAGTCTAGCTGCAAACATCATTGCGTGCTTCGCAATTCGTTATTTGTTATTTCAACATGGTGGATGCAGGGCAGTGGCTGTATGGTGACGACTACATGAAGGCGAATGTAGTACTGTAACGTAATGTATGTATCACGATAAAGGTACTATATTCATGACAGCGGGCAAGCTGGTAGTGTACCATTTGGGCGCAAACTGACGACAAAGTAGACCTGAAGGCAGCCAACCGTCGGGTACATAACGACTTCCGAGTTTGTGTTTTTCCAGCAAGGGGCTTATCTAAATCAAGGCCTGATAATTTAATCAATGATTTTGTGTTCTCGTCTGTTATTAAAAATACATTTAAGCAAATGTGTGTGCTATTTTAAGAATGCACCACTTGGGTTGCTTTGTACACCATGGAGGTATTATTGAGAAGGAGATCACTCGGCAACTTGACGCGACAAACCCACGGGTTCCCCGCTTTTGCATCGCGCGCGGGCGTATTACCCTATAATTCACATTTTTTTGTTAGCATTTTTTCGTTAGCAACAACTTGGCAAGGACATGCATTTATACGCTTCCAGCAGAGCAGTTGTGCAATAAAGCGTTTGATTTTAACCCATTAAATATCTTTATAATGAACAGTGTTCCCCTGATTAGGTTTTTTCGGACTTTTGGTATGTTATTATTTGTATATTTCAAGAACGGATTCCGTAAAATATTTATGTTAAAATTACTTCTGTGTTCATTATAATTTTGTCTAAAGATTGATTAGTTCGACTATAAAGCTAAGTCAGCGTAAAACTGAAAAATACTCAGACTTTGGATTGATTTTTCGAATAGTTAACCCTCGTTAACCCTAAAATGACTTTTTAATGATATTTTATGAGAGATAAATGTATCAGCTTCAAAATGCGACGATTGCGCAGCCATAGTGATTGACTGTATGTAGTGCGCATCGAGAAAAGAAGGTGCTCTCCATTTCGCCATGTTCAATTTTTTGGTAAACTATGCCTGCTGAAAATTTGATGGCGGGGAACACATGGGACTTCAAAGGCATCGCGCAAACGTTCTTCACGCGCTGCGGCAGCTTTGATCTTGGTTCATTTGTATAGCGCTGCGTGCGCGTAGCTTTTTCGAGTGATCTTCTTCTCAATAATACCTCCAAGGTTACAAGGTGTAGGTACTGTAGAGTAGAGTGACGGAAGTAGAGTAGGCCTAGCCTAGGCCTAGCGGTTTAATCTCCCAAGGCTAGGCCTAGGCCCAGATTGTAAGTTACTGATCATCGCGGTGAAAAACTTGACAGACTATTAGGCCCATTGCCAGACGATCAGACTCAAGCCAATTTTGAATAATCCTTGTTTGGACTTTATGTTCTGATACATAATTATGCTAATAATGCATAAAATATAGGTTTTCTGGAGACAATCTATGGTTCCACCCTCCTTGCTCGGATAAATGATTTTGGCTAAAGACAGATTCAATTTGCTAAAAAAAATTATTAAACCAATATCATTTTGCTGGTTTTATTGATTTAGTTTTTTCATAAAATTATATTTCGGACCGGATATTGGTACGAAAACAACATACATTCAATCAAAAAATATTTTTATCAAACATAAATATGATTCTTTAGTACATTGGCAATGTTTAATGTAACATTTAATAGATTTGAAGAATATAAAGAATTTGCTAAAAGTAGACCAGGCCCAATTAAGCTAGGCCGAGCTGATTAGGCCAAGCCGTCACGGTAAAATTGGCCGTCCTAAATAATTGTAGCCGTCCAAAAGACAGCTGGATGACTCGCTGACTAAACCTATGTATGTAATCTGATCATCAACTAATTCCTATGATCTACCAAGGACTGAATTGCAAGGACTGAATTGGATTGAATTTTCGTTTAATTTGATTGGCAATATTGTAGAAAGAATGAAAAACAAAACATAGGTTACCTTTAAGAATCGTAACATTGCAAGAAGCTTCCTGAACGGTTGCAACGCCCAATGACTATGCTGGTACAGCAGTGTATTTACAACACCAGGGTGGACACAGTTAACAGTAACATGACTTCCTCTTGCCACCAATTTCTGATGAAGTTTATATGTTGATAGAATAATGGCTAACTTGCTAACGGCATAGCTTGAATATGCACAATAAACTTGCCTGTGTGCAAAATCAAATAATACTTTAAGCTGGCCATGACTGCTTCACACAGTAGATCTGAATTGCTTTCTATATTAACAAAATTCAAATTTCTAAAACAGAAATCATCAGTTAATATAATCTACAAGTACAAGGTGACTGTGTGTACCAATTCATTTGTTGGCAATATTACAGTTAAACCCAAGAGGACTGAGCAAAATAACAAGTAATTAAAATATTACATTCAAATTCCAAAATGTTCCACTTAAATTAATTGCTCAAATTTTTACAGCAATTTTGAATTAAATGAAAATACACATTTTACAAACATTTCACTGAAGGAGGCAGAAAATCTAATGGTTATGCGCAATGCTAATAATGTGCGGATTAGTATGAGGCTATAGATATTTTTTGGAAATTCAGTATTTTAAGATCCTATGGAAAACTAAATATTTTAATGTATTGTTTTGACCAATAAATTGCTTTGGAAAAAGGTAAAACTAGATAGAAAACATTGTGCTCACATTGTGCAACACACAAACTGTAGCCCTTGGCATTTAAAATAATCAGCATATTGCAAGTGATATTAAAAGTCTACTAAATTTTGAATGTCACAAAGATGATGCATCTGAAAGTTGAGATTATATGAGAACATTCTGAAAATCTTATTCTAAATGAAAAATGTTATGTAGAAAATCAGACACCGACCAATAAACTTTGAACTTTGACATCCAAAACAAGAATCTATCGCACGAATCATTCAAGTGAAATTTGAGCTTCATTAGATCACATTGAAAATCTAACCTTTGGTCATAAAATAACCTGTGACATTGGTTATGCGATCACCTCAGTGTACATGGTACTGATACAGGATCACATGGTGGTGGCTACTGACTGACAGTCAGCACTTTAGACTACATGTTAATGTTTAAAAAAAAAAGTACTCTTGCTAACCATTTTTTTATCACTTGGAATGGTACAGTATAGTCAGTGAGTTTGGCCGCTACCGTACCAGTATAATAGTATTTTGAAAAGTTGAAAGGAAAACTTGACATTTGACACAAAAATGACCAATGACCTACAGTATACTGTATGCTTTGGTTGAAATCAGTCTATGGGTATGGCACTAGTATCATTTTGAAAGGTTGAAAAAGAAAACATATTCTGTAATTCAAAACAATACAATAGGTCTTTGGGGTATCTACTCAAAGGAATATTATTATTATTATTATTATATTATTATTGTTATTATTACACAGGTCCTTACCTGCCTCAGTATGTGGTTATATGAGAGTCAAAGGGCTAACTTGCCAAATTATGGACTTGGTATTTAAAAATATTACATTGACTAATAGTAGATTTATTCTATTTTTTTTATGTGTTTGTGGTGTGTTTGTGATGTAGTTTTAATGTTTTTCTCCCCTTTTGTTAATTCAATTTTGATATCATTTCAGACTAACAACTAGATATTTTTTTTAAAATCATGCATCCTACTAGTGAGTTGTTAAATTACCAAAATGCAAAACTCCCCAAAAAATGTAACAAATTCCTGGATTTTTTAATTTAAAAAAATTAAAACCAGCAATCATGTTTAGCTTCCACTAATAATTTCCTTCTATTTTTAACATTTATAATTTTATACTGAATTACCTTTCAATTTTAATCAATTTCAAAATTAAAGGAAATGTATTAATTAGTATTTATGAATAGCAGTACCTGTTAATTAAATTGTCTGCTTGAAGATCTCCACAAACATGAACAACAGAAGATATGTTTACTATTCGTGAGAATTTGCTCACCTCGCCTGAATCAACCAACAGATCTAATAACAGTAACGATAGTAGAAAGTGACCCAGATAGTTGACCTGAAATTGGAGTTCAAAGCCGTCTTCAGTTTCTGAAAATGGTGGAATCATCACTCCTGCTGTAACAATAGAAAACAGAATGTAGAAAACAGTCAAATTTTACTAGAAAACATATATTCAATTTTGGCCTTTGCCACACTTTTATGGATTAGTAACATTTTTATATAGCACATTTATTCTCCTTATGCAATGATTACAAAATAAGAGGCCAACAAACAATGAGTGTGATTACTCAAACAAACTCAATATTGGAGGAGAACTAGTTTACCACATTCCCTGCCAGTGAGGAGTATACCAGTCCCGCAGGGTGTTGCCGAGGGACGTCTATACTCGTCAAAACCGGGGTAACATTCCAGCACTTATTACATCAAATTGTTATACATTGTGGGAACAACAGACTTAACAGCTGATAGTTCAGGGAAGATACATCCAGGCGATAATGTACAAATATGTATGTTTGTTTGAGTTTTGTTGCCGGCAGTACAAAATATTACATAAGTGGGGGTACATTAGGATAAGTTTGATCACTCAGTTGGTCAAAATTGCCTTTGCGTAGGGTTTGATAATCCCCTTATCGTGTCAAAGCCAATTCAATGACTGGTCGTTGAAGCGTGCGATGTGTACCATTGTAAAATAGGGGTATTTAGTTTGTGTGAATGTAGAGAAAGATGTAGGTGCAGGCTCATATAGTACTTCAAAATAAACAAACAGGTAATATTAATATTATACTTCATTAGGTATACATTTTTTTAACACTGTAGAAATGTGCCTATTACAGATGCTTCTACCATGCACTTGCATGACCAATTGAATATGGTATGGTCTGATTATCAGATCTGAAACCGGAGTTTCGCCGAGGAGAATACGTGGGCCTAGCAGAATATCGTCATTTATATACTGTCATAACTACTATATTTGTTATGTAAATACATTAAAAAATGTATCTATACTTCATCTACACAATCACAAACTAAAAATCAAAATAATATTTCAAGATAATGCAAACAACATTCTAAATTTTAACTCCAAAGCTAAGCTCCTTCTGCTCAAAAATACGGTTGAATACTCGTTCGCTATTCTAAAGCATTGGCTTCTAAACTGACTTGCTACTGGTTGATTCTTACAAAAATAAACCAATCAAATTGATTTTTACATATGTTGTAGCTAATAAATAAAGCTACATGTTGCCGCAACAATGCCGAAAATCAGCCCAATATCAGCGGAGCTACTACCTAAAAACTTCGGGTGGTTCGCCACATTTCTGCTAAAACCGTAGGTTTTACACGGAAAAATTTGAAAAACCACGGTTACAAAATTAAAAAGTCCGAGGAGATTTGGCAATCTTATGGATTAAAATTAAGATTACTATAACTGTTATTAAATTTTGAATAGGATAAAAGAACAATGGCGGACAAGTAGAAGTAAAGTTATGAAGAGAAATGTGCGGAAAAATAGCGAAAACAGCTGAAAATCGACGGTTCAAATTAAAAATGAATTCGCGACGATCAAACTTATCCTAATGCCCTCTAAATATATAATGACATATGTAATGACATATATAATGTCAATCCATGCAAAACTCGCACTTTGGCAGATGCAATAGAAAGTACTTTCTCATTGCCAGTAATGAGTTTACTCGTCCCCTAATATTTTCCTTTCAATTTATTAGACACACCATTTTGAAGACTTATGACTTGATAAAATTTCAAGAAAGTATATACTGTAGTATAGTAGTACATGTATGCTTGTTTTGGAACACGGGACAAAATATGACAATACAGTCATACAAATGATCTGATTGTTCAAATAAATTCATTGATGATAGGGTAGCAGCGAAAATAATACCTTGAAACAGGCTAAAAGAAGCATTCTGACAGCCGCAACTTGTCAGACTAAACATAAACAAAAAAATGTTTGGATAGGGGTGCAGGGGTGGCGCCAGCGGAGGAGCCGATTATTAAATAAGCCTTTGAAACCCAAAGTATTTTGTCATACTTTTTGCAGGGGGGGGGGGAGCTTCTCTCACTGGAACATATTCGAGAGATTTTGAGCGACGCTCAACCACATTCACTTTTTGTAGGGGACATCGGCCCCCACATCGGGGACATCGGACCCGCCGTCTGTCAAATCCTGGCGATACCGCATATGATCTTCGAAGATACATTTTAGTGAGGGTTTCAGGTGTGTGGAGAAGGGGATTATTAGAAGAACGAAGTAATCAGGTGCAAACTCGTTCAGAGCTTTTGGGTATTGAGAAGAAATGAAATCGACTTACATATTCGATCGTTTCTTCATATTCATTGAACAGTAAAAGGTGTACTTGTTGAGTTACAAACTGAATGGTTCTGAAAAACAGGGTACACTGTGCACTAGCTAGTTTGGATTCTTATTAATGCTTAATAATAATAATTTTGGATTTATATAGCACCTGACGATTTCGCAACCTCGAGGCGCTTAGGACAGTAGCATCAATTTTCTATGCACATAGCATTCGTCAGATAGCACCAGCAGCAAAACACAAACATACTGTAAGTCACACATTATCACATTTTAGCCAGTGTAAAACAGGGTACATTTTGATGTCCATAATTGTTAAATCCCTGTCTACAAAATGCTTGACATTCAATATGTTTATAGAATCCTTATTGATTTGTCAAAATGTTTGTCACAATTTACAAGCACATATTCTGATTACAAAAAAAAAAAAATAGTCATGCTTTTTGAACTCGTTACACATAGCATTACGTTGTTTAATTCTAGAAAACTGTGCCTTTCAAAATTCAAGAGTAGTATTATCACTTCCTTTAACAGAAGTACACCCTTCTGAAAGAATGATTTTAAAAGCACAATGGAAACGTCAAATTTTCACCATAAAAACATTTAAGTTTGTGTGTGGCTATTTACTTTGCAGTTCATCTTCTGATTTTACTTGTTTTTTCCCTGACCCTGGGATCCCTTAGGCCTGCCTTACATTGTAAGTTCTATCAAAAAGCACATTAAGTCATTAAAATGTATTGTATAACTTTGTCAACAATAAAACAAACCAATACAGGGAGAAATAAGTGGGTGTTAGTGTAAAATTGTAGTTGGTAGGAGGTAAATTTCAATGAGATATAAACGCTTCTTTTGTACCAATATACTGCAAACTTTTATTCAGCATCAACTATTCTACTCTAAATATACAATCGACTCCAGGTTACTCGGATGTTAGAGTGGAACCCATTCAGAGTGGAGTCAGTTCTTAATCTCTACTCTCTGCTGTCTGATCACTGAATCTCTGGATCAGTGATGTGGGGTGTTTGCCTATACTCAAAGTAATGGGGGTGTGTCTCAATTAAGTCACCCCATACTTTTAGAGTTTCTGATTGGATCATAGAGAAATTCTTTCTCTATGATTTAATAACTTGTTTACCAATAAGTTGCTAATTAAGATATTAGAAACTTCAAGACTTTGGCTTAAAACTTTCAATCACTGATTCATAGTGCGAGAAAGGCCAAGTCCAATTGACTAGGGTAAAGTTATAAAATTGTATGATTATATTTTCTGTATACTCAGGTTGACTATTCAAGCTGTCAAATCAGTTTAAGACATTTAACAAGTGAAGGGGTATCGATGATATACAAATTCCAATGGTTATATAAGTTAGTACTATTGAACCATTACATCCCTTTCAATTTTTTAAAAATTTTTTTGTTGTTGTACCGGTACATCATAATATAAGGGTAAAATATACTACAATGCTCTTTTAGGCAATTTAAAACATTTACTAAATTAGAAACATAATTTACTAAATAAGGCTATAGGTTGATATTCTATGACATTTCTATCATACTTATTCTTGTCAAAATTAAACTCTTGAGATGAAAACAATTAATGAAAAGAAAAAAATGTTAAAGGGTTGAATAATATAGGCTATAAGTCAATCCTGACGTCATCTCTGAAACTCGCAATTTTATTTATTTTTAATTAGTGTATGATTTGCTTGATCTTTTTTTCGGTTTGTTTGCAAACTCACGACATGTTCTTCTAACACAATCAAATATTTATTCATCGTATATATATAATTATTATTATTATTTATTATTATTATTATCATTTCTTTTTTTTTTCTATTTATTTATGTTATTATTTATAATTTTTATCAATATTTTTACTATTATTTATCAACGGTTGGTGTGGTCGAACTATCCCGTAAATAATATATTACAACAACATCGTTTCTGCGTTTCCATGCGGATCTTGGCCTATCATGCAATATTGGAATTTTGGATGGATGTAGTTTCAGTTTTTAAAGTTTGTATCGATTTCAATCTTATCAATCTTGCTAGGCCTGCTCATCCAGGTGAATGACGAAAAACAATTTCAAATCGCCTGCCAATCGGAGCCCCATTTTACTGGTCTACATGCCCTTGGTGAATTCACCTTGGCCTACAAGAATTTTTATCCAGATTTTTCTGAATCCGTTTCCACACATGGACATGTATGCTGTGGTCTACATTGACACTGTCATTCTTTTTGGTCTTTTTCAAGATTTAGAACATTATTTTTACCACCACGTCATTTAGCGGGAATTTTTCGATCACTTGATCACTCGCTTTTGTTTACACTTGAAGCTGTAACCAAGTACCGACAAACGTTTGTACACTAATATGCAAATGTTCAATCCTGTTGCTAGTAATGTTACATTTTTAATTCTGTTGTCATCATACCAAAATTATGTTCCTCGTACAGTAGCTTAAAGTTTTCATCGACATTTGGACACAGTCATTCCATTTCTGGACCAACAGCTTTTCGTGGAATTATGGCTAAAGCCCTGTCACACTGTAGCGTATAGAACCAACGTATGCCAATGTTTATCAAAATATTGGTTTACATTCGCGCAAGTTGACATTCGTTCGTGACACGTTTGTAATACGTTTGGCATACGTTGTATTCGTTAGCTGTTCGTTGGGGTACGCTGAGGTCGATTTTAATTTTTGGACATGTTCAAAATATATAGTATAACAACGTTCTGCTACATACGCTAATGTATACGGTGAGCATTCGTTGTTTGAACGT